GGTAGAAGTGATGCCTGAATTGTGGAGCGTGGGAACCGGGGGGCTAGGAGGGGAGGTGGGAAGACAGAGGAGCTGAAGAGTCAGGTGGTCTGGGGTAAGCCTGGAAGCTGCCTATAGGAAGTGGGGCCCGTAGTGTCACAGTTGCTTTCCCTGTCCAGCTGCTCTCAGGAAATCTAGGGCTGCTGCTGGGCAGCTGGAAGCAGAGTGAGGAGGGGCTTGGTATGATAGCACCTAGCAGCTGAACACCTTGAACACACTGGGATCCCATATGGGTGCCAGTTAGTGTCCCGGAGGCCCTGCTTCTCATCAGCTCCCTGCTTGTGGCCTGGAAAAGCAGTTGAGGACGGCCCAGGGCCGTGGGACCCTGCACCTGTGTGGGAGACCCAGAGGAGGGTCTGTATATCTGACTTTCAAAAAAAAAAAAAAAAAACCAGGATTACTGAGTCACATAGTCACAACCTCAGAGAGTCTCTTAAAAAAATTGATTTTATTTTGTTGAAAGGGAGAAGGTCAGAGGGAGAAACAGAGAGAGCACTTGTGTTTACTGGTTCATTCCCCAAGTGGCCATCGTTCATTTCTGAGCTGGGCCACACTGAAGCCAGGAACCAGAGTTCCTGTGAGGGTGTAGGAGTGTACATACCTGAGCCATTCCTGCTGCTTTCCCAGGCACATTAGCAGGAGCTGGATCAAAAGTGGAGCAGCCCTGACTTGAACTGGCACTCGTGTGGGAAGTGGGCTTTGCAGGCTGCAACTTAATCCACTGTACCACAGTGCTAACCTTCCCTTCCTGCTCCCTCCCATCCTCCCCCAGGACATCCTCATCTCTGAAATGGGAGCCATCCTGGAGGCTGAAGACTCCCGGGTTTATTAGGATGAGTGACTAAGCTTTTGTGTATATGGAAATGGTCACAGAGCTCAGGAGGGACTGTGGGCTTGGTCTGCTAACAGCTGCCAGGACACAAGGAAGAGGTTTAGATAAAGCCAACCGGATGCTGGTCCAAGGAATTAGCCTGAGTCTAGTGCCCATGGAGGCAGGTCTTAGTGTGGTTGTGCTAGGGCGTGTGTCCCAAGCGGGCAGAATGGCCAGGATCCCCCGTGGCACCTGCTGGGTGCAGAATAAAGGCCAAGTCCAAGGTCCGCTGCCTGATGGGGCCAAGAACCACCAGGGGCAGCCCTGAGGAAAGCAGTGAGAGTAGAGAAGTTTCAGGAAAGTGAGGCCAAAGTGAGACCCTTGGCTGCAGCCCTGTGAAACAGAGGGCCTGGGCCACTGCCAGGCCATGGCTGCCTCCACTTGCTTTAGAAGTCGTGGAGGCAAGGGATGAGAGTTTGGGGTGGAATCCCAGCCTATACAAAATTGTACCACATAATTCAAAATAAAAATATATTTTTTAAAAAAAGGAAGTCGTGGGGGCAGTGGCGTCCCCAAGCCTGCCCAGTTCTCTGCACACATTCTCCATCTTCTTTGTTTCGGTTCCATCCCTCCTTGGGCAGGAAATTGGTGACAGCCGAGTGAGCCTGCAGAGTCACACGGTGCCTGTTCCTGGGCTCTCCACCAAACCACAGAAGAACTGGTTGTCAGACTAGAGTTTATTACCGATAATTCCTGGTCACAGGTTTAATTGCAACTCCAGGTACATATGGAAAAGTGAAGGCAGAGGAGTGGGGCACTTGGTTTAGAAGGTTAGCTGCCTAGAGGCCAGCACTGGAATGCAGCAGGCTAGACCACTGCCCACATCACTGGCATTCCCTGTCCAGGTGTTGCTTCCCATCCACCTCCCTGCTGAAGTGCCAGGAAGGTGGTGGTTCAAGGTTCAGGGCCTTGAGCCCCTGCCACTGTTAGGGGATAGTGTCCCAGGCTCTTGTTTTCAACATGACCTGGCCCCAGCTATTGCACTCATCTGGGGGAGTAAACCAATGGGTGGAAGATCTCTTTTTCTTTCTCCTCTCTATTCCTGTCACTATTCTCTGAAGTCACATTGTCATCACAAAACTCTTACCAGTTCTGTCTACTTATTTATATAAATAGAAGATTTCATCATTTGTCTCTTAAAAGGAACAGAATGGTACGTCATTTCAATCTAGCAAAAAATAATACTCATGAGAACCCGTGAACTAGAGCAGCAGCTATGTGGATCCCGTCTCTTTGGGAGGGATGGTTCAGCCAGGGTTCCTATGCCACATCACATCGATCCAACTCTGCAGGGTTTCACTCTGTTGCCTGATTGTGTGCTGCAAATAACGCTCACTACCAATCCAGAATAGAATATTCAGAGCCCTGTGAGCTCACAAAACCTCTCCATTTCACATATATGTGTGCAGAAGCAAAAATATAAGGTGGGCCCAGAGTGATGACCTAGTGGCTAAAGTCCTCACCTTGCATCCACCAGGATCCCATATAAGCACAGTTCATGTTCTAGTTGCCCCACTTCCCATCCAGCTCCCCGCTTGTGGCCTGGGAAAGCAGTCAAAGATGGCCAAAATCTTAGGACCCTGCACCCACATGGGAGACCTGCAGGAAGCTTCTGGCTCCTGGTTTTGAATTGGCTCAACACAGACCATTGCAACCACTTGGGGAATGAACCAGCAGAAGGAAGATCTTCCTCTCTGTTTCTCCTTCTCTCTGTGAATCTGCCTTTCCAATAAAAATAAACGTGTGTGTGTGTGTGTGTGTGTGTGTGTGTGTGTGTATGTTTAATCTTTTAAACTATCAAAATGGGCAAGTGTTGTGCAGGGGCTTAATCCGCAGCATCTCGCATTAGCTGCTCCAATTCTGAAGCTAGTAAGTCCAATGAGCCTGGGAAGCACTGAGGGGAGGATGGCCCAAACACCTGGTCCTCTGCTGCTCACGTGGGTGACTGGCCCTAGCTGTTGTCGGCATTTAGGGAGTGAACCAGCAGATTTAAGATCTCTTTTTCTTTCTATCACTTTGCCTTTCAACTTAATAATATCTCTTAAAAAGTGAAATACTTGACATAGTGGGCAAAGCTACTACCTCTGACCTTGGCATCCCATATAAGTGCTGGTTTGAATCCTGGCTGCTTCAAGCTCCTGGCTTTGGCCTGGCCTATTGCAGCCATCTGGGGAGTGAACCAGCAGATGGAAGATTGCTCTCTTCCCCCCTCTGCAACTCTTTCAAATAATTAAATCTTTTAAAATAAATTATGCAGGGCTCAGCACGGTGGCCTAGCGACTAAAGTCCTTGCCTTGAACATGCTGGTATCCCATATGGGCGCCAGTTCTAATCCTGGCAGCCCCGCTTCCCATCCAGCTCCCTGCTGTGGCCTGGGAGAGCAGTCGAGGACGGCCTAAAGCCTTGGGACCCTGCACCTGTGTGGGAGACCAGAAGGAAGTTCAGCATAGCACTGGCCGTTGCAGTTACTTGGGGAGTGAATCATCGGATGGAGGCTCTTCCTCTTTGCAATTAAAAAAATTAAAAATAAATTATGCAGGAGCTAGCCCAGCAGGCTAATCCTCTACCTCCAAGTGCCAGCATCCATATGGTTTCCTTTTCATGTCCCGAATGCTCCACATCCAATCCAACTCTCTACTTATGGCCTGGGAAGACAATAGAAGATGACCCAAAGCCTTAGGAATCTGCACTTGCATGAAAGACCTGGAAGAGGTTCCTGGCTCCCCGTCAGCTCAGCTCCAGCCATTGCAGCCATTTGGGAAGTGAACCAATGGATAGAATTTTCTGTCTCCCATTCTCTCCATAAATCTTCCTCTTTTTTAAAACAAAGATTTATTTAATTTTATTGGGAAGTCAGATATACGCAAAGGAGCAGAGACAGAGAAGATGTTTCATCTGCTGATTCACTTCTCAAGTGGCTGCAATGGCCAGAGCTGAGCCGATCAGAAGCCAGGAGCCTTTTCCAGGTCTCCCACTCAAGTGCAGGGTCCCATGGGTTTGGGCCATCCTCAGCTGCTTTCCCAGGTCACAAGTTGGAAGCTGGATGGGAAGAGGGGCCACAGGGATTAGAACTGGCACCCATCTGGGATCCCAGCACGTGCAAGGTGAGGACTTTAACTGCTAGGCTACAGCATAGGGCCCACATCTTCCTTTCCAATGAAAGTGAGTAAAATCTTTTTAAAATATGCAAATAGAAACCAGGATGCAGTTCTTGAGGAGAAGTGAGCATGGTTGCCGCTGGGAGAAAAGGGCTTGCTCATTACTTTCTGATGGCTGTGGGTGGGTATCAGCAGGGCCGCGGTGTCTGGATTCCACGAATACATTTAAAAGAACAATGTGATGGTTTATGTTAAGATGTCAATATTTACATTATTCTGGAAATGATATTGTTTGCAACTTTTTAGAACTCATGGTATAAATGGTGAAATGTTGACTTAAGAATGTGCTGGGGATTGCATAGTTTTTCAGAATTATTTTGCGGGTGCGGGTACAAAGCAGTGTGAAGGCTGCTGGGTTGGAGAAGCCAGCCCGTGTAGGGGTGCCCCTCCACCTCGTTCAGGTTCTGCACTTCCCTGAGAGGGGCTGCAGTCCAGGCCTAGGGGCAGCACTCCCATACAGGGGTGGCTGATGTTGGAGTCCTGTCATTGGCTCATCACCACACTCCTGCGAGGTGAGGGCTGCTCCCGGCTACTGGGTACTGATGGAGAGAATGAAGCTGAGCTGGACTGAAGCCTGCTGGGGGTCCCGCTGCCAGAGATGACTGAGCTGGGCTCCAGATCCCCTGTGGAATGGTGGGACCCCTTCCTTGATGGCAACTGTTTGGGTGATTGAGCAGTCACGTGCCTTTAGTGAGCCTCTGTGTCTGCATCCAGGAAGTAGGGTGATTGCACACACCTGCTAGTGGGATGGTAAGGACTAATTGAGGAGTAGAGCAAAAGCACCTGGCGGGGACTCCACATCCCTCATAGAACCATAGTTCCTTCCCTGGCGGGGACAGGACCCACCAAGTGACACAGGCATCAGGCCAGCCCCTGACAGTGTCGGCGGAGCCCTGGCCGTCATTCATCCACTTCCCTGTCTGTCTCCGCAGTTGGACCCACAAACTGTTGAAACCAAGAACTGGCACACGGACGTGATTGAGATGAATGGGGTAAGTGAGAACAGGAGCCCCGGCTCTGGCCACTTCCTGCAGGTGCTGGGCCGGTGATCCTGTCTCACCCACACCCTAGGGTGGTCCTGGGGGTGACAGGGAACCCTGTGACGGGGCCCTGAGGGAAAGTGTGCCTGCCTCACTTCCCCCCACCCAAGCAGATCAAAGTGGAATTCTCCATGAAATTCACCAGTCGGGACATGAGCCTGAAGAGGACCCCGTCTAAGAAGCAGACCGGCGTCTTCGGGGTGAAGATCAGTGTGGTGACTAAGTAGGTCCCACCCCTGGTGTCCCTGCTGCTCAGCGGCTTCACAGAACAGGGCCTTGTATGGCCCACAGAGGGGATGGGTGCTTCCTGGCACATGTACTGCCTTAGCAGCACATGCTGACATAGGCACATAGACATGTAGAGGTTTCACATTGAAATCTCGTGCTGGGTCAGAGGGTGGGACATGGCATCCTCAAGCCAACAGTGGTTGGGCTGCCACATGCAGGTCCAGGTCCTGCATTCCATGGCTCAGGGGTGCCCACAGTATCTGCCCACTGTGGATTACCCACTTGGCTTCCTTGAACCTGAAGTCTTGCTTCAGCATTTTGGGTTTGGCTCCCAGGACCTTCTCTGCCTCTGTCCCTCACTGTTCCTGGTAGGCCAGCCCTGGGCAGCAGGGTAACAGTGAGGGAGACCTTTCCTGGGCCCCTCGGTCCCAATCACAGAGGCTAGTGGCTCATCCACAAGGCTGGGTGGTGCTGCAGAGTTGAGGTTCCCAGGGCTTCCTTTCGGCCACCCTCACTTGCCCAACCCTTCTCCCCAGGCGGGAGCGCTCCAAGGTACCCTACATCGTGCGGCAGTGCGTGGAGGAGGTGGAGAAGCGGGGCATTGAGGAGGTGGGCATCTACCGGATATCGGGGGTGGCCACGGACATCCAGGCGCTGAAAGCTGTCTTCGATGCTAGTGAGTCCGGGAGCAGCACCCCACTGGGGGGCTTGAGGGGTGGGAAGCAGTCCCACAGGGGCTGTCGGCAAGCTAGGCCAGGGCCCACTGGAAACGAGGTCGTCTCCATGCACAGGCCTCCACTTGCCTTTGCAGAGGAGCGGAGGACAGTGGCCTGGGGTCAGCTGGGTCAGAGTTTCCTTTTACATTTCCCTCCCCTCTGGCTCTCCTCCATAAGGAAACTGAACAGGATAAGAAGCCAAGTCACCTGCCTGGGTTTCCCTCGCTAACAGGAGCTGAATTGGCCCCAAGGCTGTGCTGCTGGCTATTGTGCCCATGCTGGGGTGCCTGCTGGGCTGCAGGGAGACAGGTGGCCCTACGCCCACATTGACTGGCTAGGGCTCCCGAAGTTCTTCCCTGTCCCAAGTGTGCCCTGGGCCAGCTCTGCCTGCAGCATCACCTAGAAACTCTCCTGGCTACCTGGATTCTTCCTCCCGCCATCCTACTGGCTCTAGCTGAAGTGACTGAAGCATGGGCAGAGTCAGGAGATTTGAACTGGCCCAGAGGGAGTGGTCCTGTGGGGAGGGGAAGCACAGCAGGGAAGCCTGAGGCAGGACCCAGATGTGCTAGCATGGGGCTGCTATGTGTCCCTGAGGCTCTGTGGGAAGGTGACATTAGCTGTGAGACACGTGTGGTGCCTTCCTGGGAGGGCCTGGGCCATGGGGAAACTTCCTGTGGCTCCAGAGCTCTACCCCCTTGCACCTCCCTGGCAACCTCAGGCCCCAGAGCCCAGACTGCTACCCGACTCTCTGCCAACAGAGCTGAGCCACAGACACCGGTGGGCACTGCCCACCTCTCTCCCGCTGTTCTCGAGAGACAGGCAGGTGGTATGGGAGATGGAACAGAGCTGGGGGCTGGACTAACAAAGGCTCATATAGCCCTTCCCAACTGCTCCCACAACTCCCCGCAGATAATAAAGACATCCTGCTGATGCTGAGTGACATGGACATCAATGCCATCGCCGGCACCCTCAAGCTCTACTTCCGGGAGCTGCCCGAGCCCCTCCTCACGGACCGGCTTTACCCAGCCTTCATGGAGGGCATTGGTGAGGACTCCATGGCCCACAGGGCGGTGCCGGGCTGAGCAGGCCCCAGGGCCCGCGACACACAAGAGAAGGCAGCCATTCCTCCCTTGCTCATCTGTCTTCCCCAGTGCACAGGGGCAGGGTGGGGCTGGACCCTCTAGCAGCTGTGTCCTTGTTGGACACCCCTGTGTGCTGCCCCCATGAACATGGACCTGCTTGGGAAGTCTGGCAACCAGGGAAGCAGTCAGAGAATGGCACCCCAGAGCCAAGGAGGAGGCCGGGTCAGGCCCCAGAGTCTTCACGTGCCTGTGCTGAGTCCTGCACAAGAGCCCCTCCCCTCTGCCCTGGGCCTGCTTAATAAGACTCCTACTTCCTGCTGCCCGGGCCAGAGCAGGCCCTCGGCCTGCTGTCCAGCCACATAAGGGGCTTTGCCCCCTCACCCCACAGGGGAGCTCCTCTCCCGGGAGCTGCTTCCCACCACACCATGCAGCAACAGCAGAGGCGGCTGAGAGCATACGTCCTGCCACTGGCAGTGCTGGGAAGCATCACTTTCCACTCAGGCAGAGCAGGCTGGGCAGTGCCCATCATCATTGACCCTGTGTGCAGTGATGGAGAGGCAGGGGTCTGCTTCCCATTCCCCTCCTTTTGGCCCAGTTACTAGTTGTGTTGAGGCCTGACTTCCCTTCCCCACCACCTCTCCCTCTCCCCCCGCCCCCAAGCAAACCAAGCTTTTCCCCCAGGGCCACAGGGCCTCCAGCCCAGGGCTCCCAGACCTGGGAGCTGAGCCCAGCCCTCAACCCTTTACTCCCCACAGCCCTGTCAGACCCTGCTGCCAAGGAAAACTGTATGATGCACCTGCTCCGCTCCCTGCCCGACCCCAACCTCATCACCTTCCTTTTCCTGCTGGAACACTTGAAAAGGTAATGGGGTATTGGGGGTGAGGATGGGTTGCACCCAGGACAGTCCCAGGCAGGGAGCACTTGTCCCACACGAGCCCCTGCCTCCAGCCACCTCTTGTCCTCGGTGCCAACCCCTGCCAAGCCTTTCCATGGCAACGGGGGCTCAGCCTTTCCACTTCCTGCACTGGCTTTCTTCCATCTTATGAGCCAACTGGGCTCTGAGATGACCCAGAGGCTTGGTCCCTGAATGTTTAGAGTCCAGGACTGCTGGCAACACTGAACGCCCTGACTGGCTTCGAGAGGCTAGCCGTGAATGGAAGCACCGTCTCATACAAGTACACAGAGACACGCACGCTGGGTCACAGCATGGCCTGCGTTTGTCATTGTGGGTCACCGTCATAGAGTGTGCCACCCCCTGGACTTGGCCCTCATCCTATTTAATAAATAGGGAAACTGAGGCCCCAGCCCAGCAAGGACTTGCCTGGGTTGGCAGAAGCTCTGTCCTTAGAAACCACCCTTCCCAAATCCTCATCTAAGGGCCTTGCCAACCTTTTCCCCTGCCCTTGCTGAAGTTTGCTGCACTGTGGTTCAGAGCGCCCGTGGCCACAAAGGCACTCTCTGAGGCCCAGGCCTGTTCCGGGTGTGGGTGGGAGGTCACAGCGTGCCCCCTCAGTCTGCTGTCGCCAGGTGCTCCTCGAGCCAGCGTCCTTCTGCTCCATTGCAGCACCAGAGAGGCCCGGATGAACCCACCGGGAGCGCTGTCTTGTTTTTTCCTTTATGAGACATTTTCTCCTCTGGTTTGGCCAGGACCTAAGCCCCAAGCAATCCCCAAATAGTTTGGCAGGCACAATGGGGAGGGCGCACAGAGGAGGAGTGGGAAGGGAAACCTATTAGGTTTTCCACCCTGGGAACTGGGCACAGCCTGTTCCCACATCTGCCCTCCCTCCTGCTGTGTATGATGTGCATTTGCCTTGGTGAGGGATATATGTGCGTGTTGTACACATGTGTGTTTGTGTTGTGGGAGTGTGTGTGCCATTGTGGTTGTTGGGTCAAGTTGCACATGTTTACTATGTCAGTTGTGTGTGCATGTGTGTTGTGGGGTGTGTGTGGGGTAAGTGTGGCATGTTTGAAGTGTTGAAAGCTGTGTCGGGTGTGTGTTTATGGAGTGTGTTTACTGTGTTGGATATGTTATGGGTATGCATGTTTGCTGGGTCTGGTGTGTCTGTGTGGCATGTTTGCGTGCATGTGTGTGTGGTGCGGGCATGCACAGATGGGCTGCCCTACCCGCCAGCACTGCAGTGTTTGTGTTTCCAGGGCAGTCAGTGGGTGGAGCCTGGCTCCTGCTCAAGGGCGGACCATGCCAGGGAGGGCGGAGGGGCTGCTAGGGAAGGCGGAGCTCAGCCCAAACATGGTTGTTCAGGACCGGAAGCCTCCCTCGTGTGTCTGGTGACCCCGGGCCTGCCTGGAGAGCAGCCACAGGTGGCCACTGCTGCTGTCACTCAGGAGAAAGAGCTACAGAGCTTCCAGCCTGTTACATGGGAGAAGTGGGGGACAATGGGAAGGGAGGCTCGGGGTCCTTCTGGCACAGAGTAGGCTCAGGCTCCATGGTGGGTGGCGGCTGCCGGGCTCAGGGCCTGGCATGACTGATGGGCCAACAGCAGAGTGCTCAGAGCACGGGCTCCAGCATGCACTGCCTGGCTCCCAGTGTTAGCCCTTCTACTTGCTAGCGGCATGATGGGGTGAATCACTTAACCCCTGCATACTTCTTGGTGTCTCTGTCTGTCCTGCCGAGGACTGAGGGAGCAGGAGCTGCTAATAGGGACACTCAACACGCGAGGTGGTGGGAGTTCTCTGTGGGCCATCTGGCCTTGGCAGTTTGCCATCAGTCGAGGGGTGGCCCTGAAACTAGGAACATGTTACAGCCACAGACCATGACGTAGCTGAGCACCTGGTCCCCGAGCTCAGGCCCCTTCCTATCAGGAGGTCTTTATCCTTAGGGAGAGGAGCTGGCCTTGTGGTGCAGTGGGTTAAGCTACTGCTTGCATCACGTATCTGAGTGCTTGGTTCAAGTTCTGACTGCTCCACTTCCAGTGCTGCTTCCTGAGGGACCTCGGAAGGCAGCCAATGGCGCAAGTTCCTGCAATCCATGTGGGAGTCCCGGATGGAATTCTAATCTGGCCAAAGCCTGGTCCAGCCCTGGCCATTTCAGCCGTCTGGAAAGCAAACTGTAGACGCAAAGCTCTCTGTCTTTCCCTGTCTGTCATTCTGCCTTTCAAATCCGTAAAATCGTGAAAGGGAAGCTGTCCTGCTGGGACCCTGCTCACCCTTCTCATCCCCCCTCCTCTCCTCAGGGTTGCCGAGAAGGAGCCCATCAACAAAATGTCCCTTCACAACCTGGCTACTGTGTTTGGCCCCACGTTACTGAGACCCTCGGAAGTGGAGAGCAAAGCACACCTCACGTCGGCCGCAGACATCTGGTCCCACGACGTCATGGCCCAGGTAGCGGCAGCACTGCCCGGGCCCAGGGCATGGGGGTCACAGAGAACTTCAGCTCAGAAGCCCACCCTACCCCCAACCCGCTTCCAGGCGGTAGTGGCCTGGGACACTCACAGGGAGGCGGGCTAGGTACCCTTGGCCTTGGTCTTTCCTGACCAGTCTCAGTGTGTCTCCTGGATGTAGGCTGCCTCTTGGCAAGGCCTGTCTCCGCAAGAAAGCCAGGTGTGTAGAGAGCTCTCGGGACCCTGTCCTTGTACGTGGAAGCTTTGTGGCGGGGGGTGGGGGGGACGGCTTGCCTGAGATCCCTGCTAGACCTAGAGCGGACCCCAGGCCATGGCCACCTGGAATACAGCCAGGGATGTGGCCCTGCGGCGCCCTCTGTTGCTGCAGATGGCCAAGCACATCTGGGCTTCCCAGGATGGGTAGGTCAGGTGAGGAAGCCCTGCCTCAGTGTCCCCCACGTCCCACCATCTCCCCACAGGTCCAGGTCCTCCTCTACTACTTACAGCACCCCCCAATCTCCTTCGCCGAGTTGAAGCGGAACACACTGTACTTCTCCACCGACGTGTAGCCTGAGGCAGGGCGGCCGGGGCCAAGGGGGCCCTACACAAACTTGAAAGACTACAATAGGAATCTCCCACGCCTGGACTTTTGGCTCCAGGGGATGCCGTCTCCCAGGACCCGGACCCCATGTGTCCTTTGTGCCACCTTGTACAAAGCCAGCTGCCCAGCCCCTGCCGCCCTCCATCCCTCCAGTCGTGTCTAACGCTCCATGCTGTTTGGGATTGTTTGATGTGTATCTGTCATGCAGAAAAGGTAGTGACCAACCGGTGTGGGCACAGACAGCCTGCTGTGTTCTTTCATTTCCTGCAGCACTTTCCATCTTCCTGAGTCTGGCACAGGGGCTGTGACTTTGCACGGTGTAGCTGCCGCCAGCTCCTCCCTCCATCCTCTCCCAAGCCCAGCTGGGTCCGCATGCATGCACAGACCCCATCTTTGCTCCATCACCTTGAAGCATCTGAAGAGGTCCCTGGCGGCAGTGGCCGTCGCCTGAGGCTGCCATGGGCTGTCCCAAGCCTCTCCCTGCCCCGTGCAAGCACACCTGCTTTGCCTTGCTGCCTGTGCAAATGTTAGACAAGGAGACAAACTCACACGGATCCCCCAGCTTAGCGCAGGGGAGCAGACTTGAGGAATTCTCCATTTGCAGGGTTTGTCTTTTCTGTCTCCGGCCTGCTGGTAAGGAGACATCTTTGACTGTTCCTTCTGCTTTTCAGTTCCTTTGCCCCTCGGTGTTTGGTTTCCCTTGAGTGTAGACTCAGACTGAGTGACTTGCTATGCAGAGGAATGGGGGGGGCGGGGCGGGGGAGCAGCTGAGGACAGACGGGGCAGGGAGGTGGCGGGGGCAGAGCAAGGCCATGCAGCACTGGGGTCCCGAGTGTGGGGGACAAGCTCTCACGGAGCCCGGGTTCCCAGAGGCTGCCCAATGTGGCCGGAGCAGGTATTCACACACAGGCAGGCTTTTTCCGGGAGGCCAGCAGGTACCCTGTGTATCTTGTGGTACTTTTGCCTTAGATCTTACACGTTCTCCTTAGCCAAGCACTGCCAGGTGTGCTGCAGGCTTGGGCTCTGCCCCAGCTTTTCCATGCAGCCCTGAGGGGGTACTCTGGGAAGCTTTGGAGGTTGAGGGAGGAGGAGAGGGAGTCCCAGGCATTGCCCCTCTTGGGACAGGGAGCTACCAGAGAGCCTCACTCTGATGCCCTAACTCCCAAGGTTGCGGGGAGACCAGCAGGTTCCATTCCCAGCTTGGAACGCACTGCTCAGTAATGGAAGTGCAGCTTCCCATGCAGAAGTGTGGGCCAACTCAGCCTCAGCCTGGCTGCCTGCCTCTTCTGTGTGGCACAGAGCAAGTGCCACAGGCTCCCCTTGCAAAGTCAGAGAGAGGGGCTCCCTGGCCCTGCAGCTGCAGCGCCGGCTCCAAGGGAGGCAGCGCTCATCCTGATCCTGCTTGCACCCGCGGCCTTCGGTGCAACAGTACCCACCTTGTGCTGCCCGTTCTGTGTGCGTCAGAGTAAGAGGTGTCCAAAGGAGGAAATGCTGACCACCAAGCGGCCAAGGAGCTCGACCAGCAGCCCTGCTCGTGACAGGTGACAAAGGAGTAAAAATGCCGTGGGGACCCGAGGGCCCATGCCTGGCCAGGCCCACCATCTCTGCTGGATGCCAGGGTGTTGGTGTGAGGCGGGGAAGGCTCTGGCTCACTTCCGACAGCAGAGTACCTCCCACCTCCCCAAAGCGAGGCGTGCTGGCTCCCCAGCATCAGGTAACGACGCGAGATGAGAAGGAAGCTCCTATTTATAGTTTGCCCCCAGAGGGGGAGGGTCAGGCACCCGGCCTGGACAAAGCTGCACCAAGGAAGTCCCGGGGGGCTCTCCCAAGGCAGGGCCCGTGCAGGGCAACAGGGATCCTGGGTACACTGGCCTCGCTGGGCACTGGCCCAGGGCTGCCAGTTTTTGTCAATGGAGGTAGGATGGGACCCTTCATTAATATTTGAGTTTAATAAGTTGGTAAGGATATATTTTTTTGTTTATGTTCTGTTTCAACTTATGTAGATTATAAATTGATGTAAACCATGTGAAAGGAAAATGTTAATAAAAAAAATGCAAAGCCCCAACATTTGCACAAAACTCAGCCCTGTGGTGTGGGTGTTTGTGTTCTAAGCAGTCCAGGGAAGACCACCAATCTAAATATTTAACTCTGCCGGCTGCAGCCAGATGTGTTTGCAGGAACCTGTTTACCTAAGCAGCTCCCGCGGAGGCACCCCTTGGCCTGGGGGACGGGGCGACCTCCGGGTACCCCCTCTTCATCTGCTGCCACACTGCTTTCCTCAAGGGCCAGTGTCCTGCCAGGCAAGACGGCTGGAAGCTGAAGCCCACCAGATGCTTGGCCCTTTTTCTGCAAACTTCTTTCCATTTTGCTTGCCAGCTGCTTGTCTTTGGGGCAGCCAGGTCCCCGCAAGGCTCACCCTTGCTCTGGGAGACAGGTGGGGTTAACAAGGGCTCCCAGCAGCCGGAGCCACTGGACGCTGTGTTTATTCTGGAGATGGTGAACAGATGTCTCCCAGGATTGCTGTTTGGTTTATGAGCTCACACTGGCTCCCTGGCCATCTCAAACAGGAAGCTGTTCATCTGCTGACTGAATAGTCGATGGGGCCAAAGCGTGGCTTACTGGGCCCACGGCCACCGACAGCTTGGGGTTTATCACACTGAGGCAGCTGCGAGGGTGGCAGAGGCTCCCAGGCAGCCCAGCCCAGGACCATGCTGGGAGCTGGGTCGTAGGGCTGACTGCCCTTGCCTCAGATGCTTCCAAGCGTGATGAGACGCAGCACACACAAGTCTGTTGTCAGAGCTCTGCGGAATGTCCCGCACGCTGCTAAGCCCAGGACAGGCAAGAGCCAGAACTCAACACACGCCATGGGCATCCGGCACTGGCTACACCCACAGGAAGGTGTCACACTCCCATACAGATATACACTGGAATGCTGCATCTGAATTCTGACCAAGTGGGCAGCTACAAGGCACAACAGGGGAAGAAAAAGGGCAGCAAAGCACAGTACAGCAAAAATGAAGGCGACCCATGGTCAAACAGCAGCCAGAATGACCACCCTACGAGGCAGAGCCAACCTTCAGTGACTCCCCCTCTCCTCCAAAGCACTGGGAGGAGCAGCCCAGGTGGCAAAGCCCAAGTCTGAAAGGCTGGCTGGCTTTCCTGCCTGTGACACACAGAGTGAGCTACTGCCGTCAGAGGAAAAACGTGTGATCAAGTCAAAAGCAGCCAAAAAATCCCACAGGACAGGGAGTGGGACAGAGGCCCCCAGCGTCTGAGTCCAGAGCTGCTGTGATGCCACTAGGACCACCAGGGCAGGCCCTGCCCATGTGTGTCCCTGAGCTGGGCCTAATCCCATGGTCACAACAGGCCTGCCCAGGAGCCTTTCTTGAGAGAGAGGCCTAGGGGGCTGGGTTTGGAATTCCTGTGCACCCTAAAAAGCAGATGAGCTGGCCCTGACCACACGACAGTCCCGCGCAAGGACGGCCTGGCACTGCCACACCTCACAGGAATCCTGTCCAGTGTCCAGGCTCCTGGCATCACTTCTGGGGATGGTGCAATTTGAAAATAAACCAGCCTTTCAAATTGTAACATAAATATCTATATTTTAAGAAGGACAACATAACAACATTAACAGGCTGCTGTGCCCTGCCCAGGTTCGAGCCGTAGGCTGTGGGGCACTTGGAAACAGCAGGGCTTCCCTGGTGTGTATTAGCAAGTGGCCACCTGTGTGCCCACAGCAGGGGCCAGGGCAGAGCCAGTATGGAGCTCGGATCCCACGAGTCCCCACCGTCCCTGGTCTGCTGGAGTCCAGGAGTGGCTGTGGACGGAGCTTCTTCCACAGCTGGGGCCAGCAGCAGTGTAGCAGCTCTCTCATGAGGCCAACGCCACAAGCGCCCGCAGACGTCTCTGGCTGGCAATGGTGCAGGCCTGGGCAGTCTTCTCAAGGGCAGCGACTCTCACCGCAGGTAGTAATCGATTGCAGCTGAGAAAGCGGCGAATCCTCCACAGCCGATGGCGCCCGCCTTCAGGCCGGCTGCAAAGCAAACACAAACAGCGTCTCCAGGTGACGGAGGCGATGACTCCGGAGCACACCAGCTCTCCTGGCCACGGCTCTGGCCGCTCAGAGCAGCAGTGCCCACGGCCTGAGCCTGTGTGTTTAACTGAGTGCTCATGTAGCTCCTCTCATGACGAAGAATTAGTGTTTCCAGTCATGGGGAAACAGCTCTCCCAGGCAGGAAATGGGTTACAAGAACAGCCCTTACAAGCCAGTGGAAGCATGCGGCCCCTGCCCCGTGTGTTTATGAAATAAATTCCTGGGGAGGTGATCAAAGTGGGCCAGGGGAGGGGGGCAGGGAGCCAAGGAGATGGCTGCTGCCTAGCAAAGTGACAGCAGAGCACGCCGCCTCACCGGGAGGGGATTTTGCTCTGGGTGGGCTGCAGCAGGGGAAGTGGAGACCGGCCCCGGGGACAGATCTGGTCCTGGGGAAGCGGGGTCCCCGAGGCCCTACCCACAGGGCCGAGCGGCAGGGTCTGGCTCGTCTCTTGTTTATAGCTGATTCGGTCATGTACAGACTATCTGTATTCTGTTCTCAAGGAGTAGAAATTTGAGCATCCTTAACTACACAAAGACATTACTGTTAGATTTATCTACAAAACTAAAATGTATAACAACATAGACCTGTCAGGAAAAACACCCAGACACCTGAGTGCCCGGAGCTGACAAGGCAGGGCCTGCCCAGGTGCAGAGGGGTCTCCTGGGGTGAGGGTGCCCAGCTCTGCTTCCAGATGACCCTGAGACCAACACGCTCCAAGGACTGCAGCCATGAGCAGGCCTCCCACACGCCCAACGCACAGTGCTTCTCCCCAGGAGACTCCCGGCTACACGGGAGACACCAACGGTCACCCCCAAAAGGGGTGGCACCACAGCCAGGGGACAGGGGTAGTGATGCCACACAGTGCCCAGCTCCAGGAAGGGGCATGCCGGTGCCAGGCAGTGTGGTGCTACCTACTTCACTCCTCAGACAGCAACGCAGTCGGTGTCCCTGGCACAATGGCGCGTTTGGAAACGGTGACACCAGTGTGCTGCCCCAGGCCACCCAGGAAAGCTCCTCCGAGAGCTGCTCACTGACCTCTGAAGCCAATGGCTCCCCCGGTGATGCAGCCACTGATGACGCTGTTCTTCCAGTCCGATTTTCCTCGGTACTAGGGGTAGAAAAGTGCTGGTTAGAGCCAAGGACATGGGGAGGACATAAGATGACGCAAGGTGCCCACTCAATCCCACCCCAAACAAAACCTCATCTTTCCAGAAAGCAGGTCCCAAAAATTGAATGTGTTACTAAGTGCTTCCTGCAGGTGGCACCAGAGTGCCGAGAGGGTGACCATTGCTGGAGAGGGAAATTGTTTATTCACTGGTTTTCTGTTTAAGTTTCATGTTTAGAATCACACCTTTTTAGCTTGTAAAAAGTAGGGGCCAGTCAGCAGCCCTCATGGGCACTGGCTAAACCTGAGGCTACTTCATTTTCAATCCTGCTCCCTGCTAATGGCCTGGGAAAGAAAGCAGAAGATGGCTCTCAAGAATTTGAGCTCCTACAGCTCACCTGGGAGACCCAGAGGAAGCTTCTGGATCCTGGCCATGGCCTGGTCTAGCACTGGCCATTGCAGCCACTTGGGTTCTAGTGGATGGAAGCTTTGTGTCTGACTTTGATTTTCAAGTAAATAAACAAATCTTTATTTTTTTTTTTTTAAAGTAGAGTAATGCAAGCCTATTATACATAAACACACAAAAAGCTTCCATCAGTTAGCATGGACGTTGTGGTGTAGCCACTCAGGCCGTCACACTGGGACCCCAGTCAGAGTTCCTGGGATCAAGTCCTGCATCTACTCCCAACCCAGCTTTCTCTTAATGTCCCTGGGAAGCAGCAGACAATGGCTCGTATCATGGAGTTCCTGCCACCCACACGGAGGAGCCAGATGGATGGGCCCTCACTGCTCTCAGCCTGGCCTCGCCCTGGCCAGCACAGTGGAAGGTGAGTCAGTAGATTGCAGATCTCTCTGCCTTTCAAAATAAATGTTTTTATTCAAGTTCGTGTGAGGGACCATTTCATGGAAGTTCAAGCCACCAAGTACCTGACATTTCTGATCTGCTTTCTTTTGAAACAATTATTAGTTCCTGGCTGACTCAAAGCCCTGTAACAGCCAGGCCAAAACCCGGAGCCTGGCACTCGATCCTGGCACTCTCATGAGGGACAGGGACCAACCACCTGGGCCAGTACCAGCTGCCTCCCAGGGGCTGGAGCCACGAGCAGGGCTGGGTTCCCACTGGAGCTCTCCTCCGTGGGACATGGCCATCCCACCCTGTGTGCTGAGCCCGACACAGCGGAACAGATACCTACAGATTCTACCAAACACTCCGTGCACGAAAACATGGCTCCCACGATGGCAAAGTTCTTGGCGTAGGACACCCCTCGCTGCCCCATGTCTTTCAGAACCTCCTTGGCGGTCGGTGTGCGGTAAGGATCCTTGGGGTCGAAGCCCACGTTGGTGTCAATGCCAGCGGTGAACACGCCAAACGCACCTCCCAAGATGAATCCTGCAAACAAACACGGAGACCACATCCAGGGCCCTGGACACTTGGTGCATGTCTACCATGAGGTGAGTGACGTAGTCCAGTCAGGCCCAACACGAGCAACCTCTAGTGCATGCCTGCTGCAGGAAGTCTCCCTTGGATTCAGCCTTCCTTTCCAAATTTGTGTCTCCCTTTTCATATTCTACCCTGAGACACATTCATTATTCTTTCAAATGGTAACAATGCTCATTTAAAAAAATCAGGTCTAGCCTGAAACACCAGATCCCATATGGGCACCAGTTCAAGTCCCGGCTACTCCACTTCCTATCTAGCTCCCTGCTTGTAGCCTGGGAACGCTGTGGCAGGGGCTCCAGTATATGGGCCTCTGCCATGCCAGTGTTCCAGGCTTTGGGCTCCTGGCTCAGTGGTAGCAGCCCTTTGGGGAGTGAACCAGCAGATGGAAGACCTCTCTCCCTCTTTCTCTGTAACTGCCTGGATGAATATCTTCTTTTTTTTTAGATTTTATTTATTTTTATTGGAAAGTCAGATATACAGAGAGGAGGAGAGACAGAGAGGAAGATCTTCTGTCCGATGATTCACTCCCCAAGTGAGCACGGCTGATGCTATGCCGATCTGAAGCCAGGATTCAGGAACTTCCTCTGGGTCTCCCACATGGGTGCAGGGTCCCAAAGCTTTTTGGGCTGTCCTTGACTGCTTTCCCAAGACAGAAGCAGGGAGCTGGATGGGAAGTGGAGCTGCTGGCATTAAAACCGGCAGCCTTATGGGATCCCAGCACGTTCAAGGTGAGGACTTTAGCTGCTAGGCTACTGGGCTGAGCCCTGGATGAGCATCTTAAGGCAAGCTCAAATCCTCCACAGCACCAGGCAAATGCATTTTCCTTCCCATCCAGCTGCACCATCCCCATCCTACTGGATCCAACAGTTCCAGTGTAACCTCTTCTGTGGTCCTCCCCTAAGTCAAAAATCTCCTTTTTCTCCACAGGTATTCACTTCTTAAAGGTCTTAACTCCATGAGACTTAACACTCATGTAGAGACGAGACCCACCAATCCTGCACGTGAGGCACTGGCCATCGTCCAGCCTCATAACGTTAAAGGACAGACATCACACCAGGCCGAGTACTGCAGTCCGGTCCCTCCAGGAGTCCTGCCTCTCCACAAGCTTCCTCTGAAGCTTCCTGTCTCAGCAACACGTTGTTGGATTCAAACTTCAACAGGATAAAGAAGGAAGTCACCCATTCGATGGCCCCATTGGCACAGTCCTGACCTGTCTCTCCCGCTTCCCACGGGGGCAGAGCGTGTGGTGCCCAGGGTCACGGGGCATGGGCAGGAAGGCTGCTGCCCAGCCTTAGGCGCCCCAGCCCTCACCTCCCAACCCTCAGGCCCCCAGCCCTCAGTCCCCCAGCCCTCACCTCCCAGCCCTCACCTCCCAGCCCTCGATACCCCCAGCCCTCACCTCCCAGCCCTCAGGCCCCCAGCCCTCACCTCCCAGCCCTCACCTCCCAACCCTCAGTCCCCCCAGCCCTCAGTCCCCCAGCCCTCACCTCCCAGCCCTCGATCCCCCAGCCCTCAGGCCCCCAACCCTCAGTCCCCCCAGCCCTCAGTCCCCCAGCCCTCACCTCCCAGCCCTCGATCCCCGAGCCCTCACCTCCCAGCCCTCGATCCCCCAGCCCTCAGGCCCCCAGCCCTCACCTCCCAGCCCTCAGGCCCCCAACCCTCGGTCCCCGAGCCCTCACCTCCCACGCAGGCCAGCGCCGCCTTGAAGGCGCAGCTTTCCATCGCCTTCTCCATCATCTTCTGCTCCTCACTCTTGACCGGGCTCGGGATCCCGCCCAGGCTCCCGGGCTCCAGGAGCCGGGGCTGCCGCTTGTCACCCACCAGATACTGCAGAAGGAGGCTGTACTGCAGCGGAGCCTCGCCGGGCGCCGCAGCCTCGGGGGCAGGATGCCCGGCACGGGGGCCGGCCGCCGCCATGACAGCAGCGGCCCCGGAACCCGGAGCGGATTCCACCGGCTTCGCGAAGGGCCCCGAGGGGCGAGCAGCTGTGCCGCGCCGGCAGATTCGTCACGGAAGCGAGCGTCGTGCTGTGAGAACCTGCCCAGAGAGCGATCCCGTTTCCCAAGAATCCGGCTTGTGAGGTATTCCCGGTGGCAGACAAGCAAGATTCCGCTTCTTCACCACAAAGTTCCCTCTTTTTTTTTTTTTTTTTTGCGGGGGGTTGGGGTGCAGGGGTCGGGTAGTGAGCTACAACGTGGTGTGCTCCGGGATTTGTAGTTCTAAGTCGAACATCGACTACATTTCCCAGGAAGCCTTGCGCGTGTTCCGGTCCCTGCGCTTTGGAATGCGGGACTGGCGGGAGAGGAGCTGCAGAGCGCGTAGTAGCCGGCAGGAGGCGCTCGCGCACTACCGCTGCTCTTCCCGCTTCCGATGGGAAGCGCGGCCTGAGTGGTGTGTCCGCTAATGGAGACTTTGAGGAGCCAGAACCGAGGCATGAAAGAGTGGTGCTGGCTCTGAAGTGGAGATGGATCCACGGATCCATCCAGGCCTCGCTGGCGGAGGCAGGACTTCTGGCTAGCCAAGTTTCTCTTGGACTGAACCAATGCAAGTGTTTTTTTCTGGCGTACAGACTGCACTTCATGAAGGTAACCCGTGAGGTCCTGAACTCTGCCTTTTGGGGCTGTGCTTTTCCCCGTATCAACTGTTCTTTTGGGTCTTTCAACTGAGAAAAATGGCAGCAGACGGGACTGCTGGTCAATGGAGCTGCCTCTTTTGGGACCCAGAGTCTGTCTGTCTGTCTTTGTTTCATTTTTCCATTTTAACTTTTTTTTTTTCTTATTGGAAATGCAGATTTACAGAGAGAAGGAGAGACACAGAGATCCTCCACACACTGGTACACTGCCCAGGTGGTTACAACAGCTGAAGCTGAGCTGATCCAGAGCTTGCTGGTCTCCGTCATGGGTGCAGGGGCCCCGACACTGCCTGCATCCCCACAGCTTCCCAGGCTCCGCATTGGCAGGAGTTGCAGCCGGCTAGCCAGCCCAGGTACTTTAGCAGAGGACTCCTAAATCTATTCTCAGTCAGACCTTTCTTCTTAAGATGTATGCATGTATTTATTTGAAAGGCAGAATTACGCAGAATGAGGAAGAGATAGAGAGGCAAAAGAAACAAAACAGACTTTCCTAGAAGAGGACAGAAAAAGCAGAGGAGCTAATGTGATCGTGAATAAATATGACCGCACTTTATAGGGAGAAAATTCAAAGGCCTCCCAAAGCCTCCCCGGGCAGCAGCTGAGATTCTAAATCTTGGAGATAACACGGAAGAGGAACCTGCAGATTGATGGCCTAGCAGATAGAAAGTGGCCTCCTCCAACCTCTGGCCAGAACGTTCCAAACCAAGGAGTAATTATGACGTGCACCGTAAGCTCCCTGAAAAGGGGGGTTTCCTGGAAGTGTGCTGGGGTGACTAGCATGCCCAGGGCCAGCTGAGCCCTCTCATCTCAGGCAGCCCAGGATCTGAGCGCCACAGCGCCGCATGTATGTGTAACCTGGTGTTGCTAAGGGATAAGGTTTGTGTTTCTTCATTCTGATCCATTCAACCTTGCCACCTGGCTGAGGCCACTCCTTCCTGTCTGAAATCTTCCTCCCACACTATCTGTCCCACTCTAGGAAGTGAGTTCAGGGGGTGCGTTCCCGCTTTTTTTTTTTTTTTTTTGGTTTTGTTTTTAGACTCCTTTGCAGCTGGGGACTAGGCGCTGGCTTCATGGGTGAACTTAGGCTAAGCCAAGTTGACATGAAAGTGCACCCTTGGGTCACTTCTAGCAGGGTCCTCCAGCAGGTCCCTCAGGACTCACGTTCCTGTTTGTAGGCAAGTATCTTCACCTGCTAAAGAGCCTGGAGTGAACTAGCGGATGGAAGGTCTCTCTCCATCTCTTCCCCTCTCTGTCACTCTGCCTTTCAGAGAAATAAGTGAGAAATGAACATGGCGCTGGCGTGCGGGATGATGAGGTGGGGATGGGGAAGGCAGCCCTCACCAGTGCCCAAGCCATGCCGATGCTCCGACACTTGCTGGCTTCCACAACTCCGAGCCAGATCAGCCTTTCCACGGTCTGCGGTGTGCAGGCACAGCTCGGAAAGCCAACGGGCAACACAGCATCACCAGCTGAAGGAATCAGCTGGAGGACCTGCTCTCCTCACTTGGAGGCCGAGCGAGGCTGTAAGAAAACCTCACACCTCCACCGTGGCTCTACCCTTACCCAAAGGGACCTTGGCCTGAGGTGGGCTCTCTAAAGCAGAGGAGACAGACTCCCCGCATCCCAGGAGGCAAGGGGAGGCTGGGCTCAGGGCACGTCCCCAATTCAGGCTCCCCATTGAGGACCGGGTACCTGTGACAGGGTGAGAGGTTCCGGTGCAGGCATGGGTGGGAGCTGCCCTGGATAAGAATATTGCTCATAGCTGGTCTTGGGGTTTCTGCTGGGTGGCCAGCACTGCCTGTGGTCTCAGCCTCCTTGACATCTAGTTTCCTGCACCCCGAGTGTGGCCTGCCAGCCCAGCCCCTGCCACTCTATGAGCTTGCATGGTTTCTCTGTACATGGAGCCAGTTGGCCTTCAGGCCCGCTGCCTGACTCTCTCACCAAGCAGGGCTAGACCAGAGCCAGGAACCAGGAGCTTCATCCGGGTCTCCCACGAGGGTGGCAGGGCCCCTGATATTTGGGCCATCATTTGCTCATTTACAGGGAATTGGATCGGAAATAGAGCAGCCAGGATATGAACCTGTGCCCACCCATATGGGCAGCTGGCATCGCAGCCGGCACTTTAGCGTGCTATGCCACAACACCAGCCTTTCCAGAAAGATCTTTCAGTGCACAAACGCAATCATGTTCCCTGTTCCGAACCTTCCTCCGTGCCATGATAAAATCAAACCTCAATGTGTTGCTTTTACAACTTGTGCCCAGAGACACGTGCTCCCATACAAACTCAGTGCTGTCTGGAACATTTCCACTCCTACTAGTCTATTTTTCGACTTTTCTGTTTTTAGATCCAAAAGCAATGGCTCCAACTCATATGCAGTGCTTTCTGTTCTTTACTGTTTGGGACTGAGTTTGGATTTACATGTTTTTATTTTAAATGTTTTTACTTCTAATTATGCTACAAATTTATTTATTAACACTTGTATGTTTAAAAACTGTACTTGGGGCCCAGTACAGTGGCCTAGTGGCTAAAATCCTCACCTTGCATGCGCTGGGATCCCATATGGGCACCGGTTCTAATCCTGGTAACCCTAACTCCCATCCAGCTCCCTGCTTGAGGCCTGGGAAAGCCCAAACCCTTGGGGCCCTGCACCCATGCGGGAGACCTGGAAGAGGCTCCAGGATCCTGGTTTTGAATTGGCTCAGCTCCAGCAGTTGCGGTCACTTGGGGAGTGAAACATCAGACAGAAGATCTTCCTCTCTGTCTCTCCTCCTCTCTATATATCTGACTTTGCGATTAAAAAAATAAATAAATCTTTAAAAGGAAAAAAAATTGTATTTGATTGACTAACTGTGGCCAGGGTTGGACCAGACCGGGAGCCAGGATCGGCACCCAGGTCTTTCACATGGGTGGCAGGGACCCAAGGCCTTGAGCCGTTCCTGCTGCTTCCCAGGGCGTGCCTTAGCAGAGAGCTGAGATGGGGAATTGGAAGCTGGTGTTGAACTCTGGCTCTCTGATCCTGCATGTGTCTCTCACTGCTGGGTCAGATCCCTGCCCCCAGAAGAGGGCGTCTTTATGGGATACAGTATGATATCCCAAGACAGAGCGTGTGTCATTTGTTCTAGTCGTCACTGTTTGACCTCTCACCTATCCTAGGCCTGTGGAGAACGAAGGTTCTATTCCTTTTCCAGCGAGAGGCCCTCCTGTGCTTGCCTGCTGCTGGGGGCAGGGGAGCAGGGTGGTCTCAGCACAGTCCAGAGCGGATTTCCTCCACGTGGTGACTGCGTGGGGCTTTGTTTACTCAGTCACACCCAGCAGCCCTGGTTGTTTACCCTCCCTCCTGCCGCTATGGCTCTGCTACCCAGTGCTCCGGGGAGTTTGGCAACTGCTGGGGTGTTGCCTGGGTGTCACCTGGGGTGTCGCCGCCTGGGGTGTCGTGGGCCTTCAGCCCTGGCTTGACTCCCGTGAGCCTTTGGTTCTATCTGCACGGCCGATGGTCTGGTTGACGACCAGGACGAGGACAGTCGGAGAGCCGCAGAAACGGAAATGGGCGTTCCTAGTCTTCCAACAGCATGCTTTCCGCAAGGAAATCTGAAAAGAGGAGGCCAGACTTGCCGTTCTTTGAGAGAATCGTGAAAAGAACAACAGTGGCCACCTCCCCAAGGGGCCCGAAAGGCCAGCATCACACCTGTGCTGTTCCTGGCACAGCCAGTGCCCTCCCTGCCACCTTCCTCCCGGCTCAGCATGGCTTCTTCCAGGCTGCTCACCACTCTGGCACACCAGCTCCCCTGTCAGAGGATCTGCTACACAAGACCAAGTTCTTTTTTTTTTTTTTAAGATTGATTTTATTTTTATCACAAAGTCAGATATACAGAGAAGAGGAAGATCTTCTGTCTGATGGTTCACTCCCCAAGTGACCGCAAAGGCTGGTGCTGTCCCAATCTGAAGCCATCAGCCAGGAACTTCCTCTGGGTCTCCTACGCGGGTACAGGGTCGGAGTCCCAAGGCTTTGGGCCGTCCTTGACTGCTTTCCCAAGACACAAGCAGGGAGCTGGATGGGAGTTGGGGCTGCCGGGATTAGAACTGGCACCCATATGGGATCCCAGCACATTCAAGGCAAGGACTTTAGCTGCTAGGCCACTGTGCTGGGACCAAGACCAAGTTCTTAAACAGGAAAAGGTGAAAACGGATATGAGATCAGTGCCATGACCTGCAGGCGCGGTCTTTTCCAGCACCCTGCTCATCACGTGCACTCCGCGTTTTGAATCTGCTTTGATTCAGATTTTGTTGAATCTGTTATTT